CATAAAATTTTCCACTGATCTTTTTTTGTAAAACTAATAAAAAAAAAACAAACAGAAAAATACTAAGATCACACGCATATTTACATATATAAAGCACTTCGTAATGAGTGAGATGTATTCCAATCAATCCGAAGGCTCCAACCACAAATGGAATTGTTTATGACCTGATGTGCTACATTTCTATTTCAAGGTCCTTGTATTTTGGTGTTTTTTTTAAGAACTTCAAAGATATATTAAAATCTGAAGGAGCTGACATGTCCATAAGAAAACACATTTTGTTCTTGTTTTTGATCACGATGTCTGGGCGATTAGCTTTGATTATTCTGCTTGTGTGTATTGCAAAGTCCCATGAAATTGTTACAGGTCCTATCTCCGTAGCCTGGTCTTAGTGATGTTCATATCATTTTCTTATAGTTTCCCTCCCGTAAAAGTTGCATAATTTCCAGTACAGATTTTGGCCCACTCAATCATGCCAATTTTTATATTCAATTGATGCCAACACTGATGCAAGGTAGTTAATTGTCTCTGGATATTTATCATATAATCTCCATTTCAAATTACAGATGTTTTCCGTATATGTGCTTCGTAATTTCTAATTAGCAAGTATTTCTCCTGAGCAGCAAGAATAAAAAAAAAACGCTCGGTTGCAGCTTTTTGTAGGTAAAAGTACACATACGATCACAGACATTTTCCATCGATAATGCTCTTCGTAACATGTAAGCTGTACTTGTGATTACAATTATTTTGTATTTCTTTAAGACATGAGACACAAAAAAACCCTTCATCGAATCTATCGGAACCGTTTTCCAATCAATTCGAGAGTTTCAACTACAAATGGAATTATTGATTTTCTCATGAGCCACATTTTTAGATTTCTCGTTGAAGATCCTTTGATAAATTTTTGAAGATCTTCAAAGATACATTTACACTCTTCAGTGACTGTTATGTCAATATGAAGGAACATTCTGTTTTTGTGGTCTTTCCTCACGATGTCTGGACGATTAGATTTAATTGTCCTGTTTGTGTATATTGTAAAGTCAGTCACATTGTTACGGGTCCTATCTCTGTAACCAGGTTTTTTTAGATCCAGTTCCCTGCAGTTTCCTTTGCGTAAAAGATTCATATTTTTCATTACTGATTTTCGTCCGCTCTATTGTGCCGTATTTTATATTCAGTGGGTGCCAATACTTTAGAACCTGATATAAGATGGTCAATTGTTTGTTGATATTTGTCACAGAATCTACATTTTGGGTTAACACAATTTTTTCACTGTGTATGCTTGGTAATTTCTAGTTGGCAATCATTGATCCCATGCAGCAAGAATGAAACCTTCAGTTTCAGCTTTTAACCCTGTACTATGTAACTACTGATAGGAACGGAGTGTGTCTACATCAGCGGGTTTTTTGTACGGGCAGAATATTAATCATGAAGAGGCTTATCTTGGAATCGTTTCGGTATTTCGTACATTGCATTTATTATTTGCTTGCTTTTTAGTTTCTTTACCGATGTAGTATGTGTATTATAGTTTATATGTTCTACATCTCCATGAAATTCCCTTTTGAATTTGTTGCATTCCCTTATTACTGAATAAAGTTCCTTATTTCTTTCACGTTCTTTGACACAGATCATCATCCATTTTTCTGTAAGTTCCAGGTATCTTTGAAGACCGATTGTTCTGGTTTTGAAAGGCAGTTTTATTATTATTATTATTGTTATTATTAAATACTCATGATCTTATGATAGCAACAACAAAGACGAGGATAATAGTCGGAATATAAATAGTATAGTGTAAGTAAGCATTTATACACTAACATATAATTACGCCAAAAGGACAAACTGAAAATATCACACACCTCGCCAGTTGGCGTCATCTTATCGGAGCAAAAGACAAAAAACATTGGTCAAAGATCATAAAAAATCTGCCGTGACCATAGGATTGGCGATTCTGGTAAAGATGCCAGTACCCTAATTTCTGGATTTTAAATTTAGCTCAGTTCAAAAACTCACAAAAAAATCTCTTCAGTAATGAAATTTATGTAAGTAAAAAAAATATTTACTCATATAAAATTATAATATATAAATTATAAATATTTTATTCATCAGTATATATATTTTATTCATCAGCACACACACACACACACACACACACACACACACACACACACACACACACACACACACACACACACACACACACATATATATATATATATATATATATATATATATATATATATATATACCCTTGGGCAAATTAACTGAAACAACCGCTTTAGTTTTTTATTCAACCTTAGGGTCAGTTTTAGACCCACTGGAGTGACAGGCCGTAATCGGTTCCAATTTTTCTTCATGTTAGATTTCAAAAACACACAAAAATCTATTCAGTAATGAAATATATGTAATTAAAAAAAATATGTACTCATATAAAATTATAAAATATAAATTATAAATATATATTTATATTCATATATATATATATATATATATATATATATATATATACCCTTGGGCAAATTAACTGAAACAGCCGCTTTATTTTCCTTTCTTTCAACTTTAGGGCCAGTTTTAGACCCACTGGTGTAATATGCTGTAATCGATTCCAATTTTTCTTCATTTTCGGTCATTTGCAGTGGTGTACAGTAATATGAATCGGTTTTCAGGGGGTGTATGATGAAATTTGTTTAGGCTTGAAAAATTAGCAAGATTCTTCAAACTGTTTATGATAAACAGTTTGAAAAATATTGTTAATTTTAAAATTAAATTTCGTAGGTGAAAATCGCCATTAACTAAATGTATCTTAATTATATAATTGTATATATATATATATATATATATATATATATAGTTCAATGGTATACAAATAAATATAAATGTACCTTTGTACAATTTGATATCATTGACTGTTATCCTTCAATCTATAAGTATATTTTTCCTCTGGCCTTGGCGTTTGCACAAGTATATTTAAATATTTCTGATGAGTAGCTTGTTATTATCTTAAAGTGTAGAAGTCCGAATATATAATGCTGATCAATGGACTGAATAAGAAACTTCAAAAAATAACTTTGACATCTCCATGTGTTCACTGGACTCCGCTGTATCTTCTGACCTGGCAGGATTATACATTTTGTATAATTTAACTGCCCATGACTGTGTTGATACCGATAGTATAGGAATATATAGAGATGATGGCCTTTTAATTGTTACGGACTCTACTGAAATGAAGGTAGATTGTATTAGGAAGATGATACATAGGGAACTAAAAGATTTAGGCTTTGAATCGAAATTCCCAACTAACTTATTGGCCCTGATCTGGCGTCTCGTCTACAGTCACTCTCACAAAGACGCGCCGTCGCTTCTCTCTGTCTTTTCTACAAATACTTTCATGGTAATTGCTCCGATGAGCTGCTTTCACTGGTTCCTAGACTCCATGAATTCAAGCGCCCTACGAGGCTGGCATCCCGCTCCCACCCTTACACTGTAGAATCTTTTAAATGTAGCCGTCTCTTCTACTCCAATAGCTTCATACCTCGCACCTCTCGCCTGGGGAACACCCTTCCCAATTACTGTTTCCCTGAGAGCTATAATCTCCAAATATTCAAATGTAATGTCAATCGACACCTCCAGTTACCTTGATCTACCCACTATCCTTCTCCTCATCCTTTCTTCTATCACTCCTATCTGCTCTCGCTCCAAATCTTCTGCAACCCCCTGCATTCTAGTGGCTTCACGCCTTGCTCGGGGCGTAATGCTTAAAAAAAAAAAAATTCAAACAAGTAGGTTTTCTTGATGTCACATTTGACCTTATGAATAGTTCTTATCAACCTTATGTGCAGTCAACCTCTAACCCAGTATATATACATCCCAAATCTAATCGCCCAACGTCAGTCATTAAGCATATACCTTCTTCCATTGAATTTAGAATCTGTGCTCACTGTTCTAATGAAGAGGGTTTCAATAGACGGAGGGAATTTTATAACACTGTTCTAAATAGTAGTGTCTATAAAGGTACCAACATTACATACTTCCCATTAATATTAACCAGATTAAGAAGCAAAAATCTAGTAAGATCATCTGCTTCACCCCCCCACACACACACATTTAATCCATGTTTAAAATGAAGTTAGGTTTAAAATTCTTAAATCTTGTTAATAAATATTTTCCTAAAACAAATGGTCTTAGTAAAAAGCTTCAATAAAAATACTCTTAAATTTAGCTACAGCTGTGCGGATAACTTCGAAAAAATAATTGAAAAGTATAATCATAAGGAATTTAACAGATATAAAAACTCCAAGGGCTTGGCGAGTTGTAGTAATGCGTTAAACAATACTAAATATCATAATATCAATACCAGTGGATGTAACTAGTAATCCCAATGATTACCTATTACAAAACAATTGCCAAATTAGTTCCCTAATTTATCTTAGTACTCTTTCTTCACTTGAAAACCTGAATATTAAAATAAATTACATTGGTAGTACTAAAAATCCATTTCAGCTAGGTTGGTACCAGCATGTTTTTTCATCCAAAAATAGTTCTCATAAACATGCTACCACACTGTTCAAGTACTAATGGAATCTAAAGGAGAAAAATAAAAGGAACTTAATTAGTAAAGATCGTAAGTGTAATTCTTTATATGCACCGTGCAGTAATTGATTAGTCATTATATCTTACGTAATATTATTTCCCCTAGTGGGAGTAGCGGTTGGTTTTGAACTATTTAAAAACTTTTTATTTTACAATCAACACCATTACATGACAAGAAACCAGAAGTGTTGAAACAAAATGACTATTTTTATAGTGACGTTATTCGGTATATTTTGTTTTTTTAAATAGTGTTTTTGGTTATTGGAATTTTATTCCATCTATACCAAACTTGTATTCGTACACACACACACACACACACACACACACACACACACACACACACACACACACACAAATAATATATATATATATATATATATATATATATATGTATATATATGAGATAGATAAAGAACAGATAAAGAACAGATAGATAGATAATGGACAGACTGAGCTAGATAGCTAAATAAATAGCAAGATAATAAAATGATTGGGATAGATAGATAGATAGATAGATAGATAGATAGATAGATAGATAGATAGATAATGCAAAGACTGGGATAGATGGGAAATAGATAATGAACATAGATAGACAGACAATGAACAGACTGGGCCAGACAGATAGAATTTAAGGTTTATGAATAAAAATGCTCTTGATTGGCAAGAGGGTGCACGTCCTTTCATCAAAATTGAAACTGAAGAAAGTTGAAATTCTTGCTATGAGCATCTTGAAACATAATCCTTCATATTTTTAAACATCAGGAAACACTTGACGCATTATTGTTTTTTAAGCCAACAACGTGGGAAGACACAATGAGGCTCATTCTTCGCTTAATTATCCTTTCTTTTTCTTTTTGAATTGGCTTCCTAATTCCCAGCAATGTCCACACACGTCAACTTTCACACACTCTTTTTATATGAGTACATACAAAAATGTCATCAACCCAACCAAGAATGGATTCATTGAATATCATTCATACCTCTCTCTCTCTCTCTCAGTCTCTCTCTCTCTCTCTATATATATATATATATATATATATGTATATATATATATATATATATTAAAGTGAGCAGCTTATATTTTATATCACAAAGAAAAATTTATGCAAGGTATTATAGTGTAATGTTAATATGATTAATAGTGAAATCACTTCGCTAACAGAACTTAATGAGACATTAACTTACTATCAATTCCTTGAATAATACGATCCTTATACTTGAGTTGTTGTCAGATGGAAGACAATTGCCAAGTACTTTCGACAATTTCAAATTGTCATCTTTAGGGCGCAGTTTTTTTCACATACATAGCCAAACACTAAGACAAAATATGCGTAGACCGAAAAATGTTTTTTTTAAATAATTCCATTGTTTCGCGGCATCGTAGTCTCCAAAACATATTCAACTGTCAATAAATATAAGGATATTATTATTCAAGGAATCGATAGTAAGTTAATGCCTCATTAAGTCTTGATAGCGAAGTGATTTCACCATTAATCATATTAACATTACATTATAATACTTTTGTATAAATTGTTATTGAAATATAAAATTATAAATATATATATATATATATATATATATATATATATATATATACACCTACCTAGGTTTGTCTGGCTCACTAGGTGTATCTAGGTCTGCTCTACGGTTGTATTGAGCTCTTTTGTTAGTTAGTTGTTACTCGTATCGGGGTTTTTTTTTCTTTGGGCTTCAGACCTGCATCTGTGCGGATTTTTTTGTCGGCAGAAGTTCATGTTTGTAGCTCTTTCTTTTTTTAAAACCTTTTTTCCCTCGAGATTGATTTGATTAGCAAATCAAAAAATTGAGGGTTTTTCAAAACGAGTCTAGTCATCTATATTTATTTATATATATATATATATATATATATATATATATATATATATATATATATAAAAGTTAAAAGAGTGGGAGTAGCATAATGTCAGAATGAAAAACAGACTCGTGAGTAGGTCTTGATTAAGCAATTAAATCTCAGATCTACGCTAAATAGAAAAGTAACCTCAGAAGGGGGAGATGGATGAGTATTTTCTTCATGCCCTGATAAACAGGAACATAGACAGGCCATCAATGGCAATTGCGGAAAATAATCACGATATATTTGTCGCTGACATATTTTCAGTAATTGTCAATGATGGCCTGTCTATGGTCCGATATATCTATATATACTATATTTCGTTTTCTACGGCTTATCAGCCCGTGGCAGGTTATTTAAACCCAGAATATATTTATAGTTTGTAAGAATATTTTTCGGGGATGGGGGGAAGATTTTGTTTTGGTGTTAAAAGTTTTACTAATTAATCCATAACTTGAGGCGTCATAAAAGAGGGATTCATACCTTTCCCAAGGGTAACTGCGCGTAACTGATTACAAAGAACCCAATCTGAATTGGTACTCGGCGCCCCGATTGTAAATTCTGAGCCATTATCCATTATACCCCGTTTTCGTTTTTGGGAAAGTTGTTGTAAGTTGGGAAATAACTTACCCCAGAGTGTTGTGTAGATGCTTTTGAACTTGGTAATACAGGCAAGTAAGAACTGGGCGTCTGCAGCCCAGATATAGCAGATTTTTTTCTATTTTCCGTCTCATCTGTCTCTTGTAAAGATAGAGTATAGCAGGCGGAGTAGGGCAATGAACCAAGCATTTAGCAACGGATCGGATATATGTGTTCCACTTGTGTTCTCCGCTAGCTCGTATTTCAACAGACGTTCAAGACAAGGAGCCTCCTTGAGAGAAGACCTATCAATGATGATAGGTGTTGCGGTCTGCTTGGAATCAGTAGAGACATGTGTTCAGTAACGGCTTCAAACTTATAATCAATCTCTTTGTCAAAAAGTTTGTAAGATTTAAAAAGTGAATACAATGTGTAGCTCCATTAAAATAATGTCTTTAACAAATGTTAAGTTTCTAAAAATGACATCAGAAATCTTACCAGTTCTCTTATAAGCAGAGATTCAGGGTTACACATGTTTCCGTTTCTTCATTCACTAGCTATCGGTCAGGAATCAAAGTGTAGTATCTGTTTTCCCTGTCGATGATGCGAATATTAGCCGTTTCCTTATAAGGAATCATTTGGCATTCATTTATTGAGCAGTCTGGGCTACACGAGTTACGCTATAGTTTATTCTTTAGCCATTAATCTTGGATCAAAGTGTAGAATCTGTTCTCCCTCTGTATAATGATAGAGGGAATATTAGCAGCTTACTTATAAGGTAACATTCAGCATTCATTGACCGAGTAGCCAATGCTAACCGTGTTTCTAGGGAAGGTTACTGAATAGAATAATAACCCGAAGGTTGGTACTGAACAATAATACTTAACACAAGAACAGCGCATACAAGATTCGCCAGCGGCGCGTAGAAGTAGTAGTAAACTGCTAGAAGTGAGTCTAGTGAATTCCACAACGAATCTTCAACTGCAGAATATCTACCAACCGCCCCACGCAGTCAGATGTGACAAAAGGCCGAATTTAACGTGGTGTATCCGAGCCCGTATGCTCGGCCAAAAAAATGGGTAGCTGTTTCCCGAGACGAGACTGCCCTTCGACATGGAGATCCTGTCTGCCCGGAGGCAGCGAGTTTGATCAGCATAGCTGGAGACAAATCTCCAGCTGCAGGATATCTACCAACCGCCCCACACGGTCAGATGTGGCACAAGGTCGAATTTAATGTGGGGTATCAGAGCCCGTAGGCTCGGCCAAATCTTCCCCGTAGACTCCGTATAAAACGAGGCCGGGTAGCTGTTTCTCGAGACAAGACTCTTCCCTTCGACAGTACCTCGTCTAGGAATCCTCTCTGCCCGGAATCTGAGAGTTTGAACCAGCACTGCTGGAGACGAATCTCTGAGTGCAGACCAACATACAGTATTTACTACTGTATTTATGTGCATGTGGACATAGCCATTATCGTCCGTAGGTATGCTACAACACCCAGGCATCATATCTCGAGACTCAGGGTTGAACATTGGGGAAGTCGGTACAGCAATGAAGGACCGAAGAGTGTGGAAAGGGATTGTCAATGGAGTTCCGACCAACCATAGGAAATCCGAAGGATGATGATGATGAAGAGATATGAAGCAATAAAAGAGAGAGAGATAAAGAAAAAGAAAGAGATATAAAGGAATAAATGACAGAGAGAAAGTAAGAGATTGCCGGACACTGCCACCGAAAAATGACTTTCTCAGACACCATAGTTCGGGACTCAGCGTTGGACATTAGGGATCTGGGTACAGCATTACAGGACCGAACAATATGGAAAAGGATTATCAATGTAGTTCCGACCAACCATAGAAAGCCCGAAGAATGATGATGAATACTGTAGTACCTGACTAGGAGGTTAAAAGAAGTATTGTCTTAGTTAAGATGATTTTTAAGTGCATCCAAGCGAATATGACACAAGGTCAGTCTAATGCGGGTTTAACAGTAATACTGTGGATAAATTGCTAGTGAATACCTATATCCTTCATTCGCTGTCGACGTTTTGGATATTTGATTAATCAACGTTAAAAAGGATACAAAATTTTAAGCTCTCTTAACAGATTGATGGAGATATAGACAAGCTGAGATAAGTATAAATTGGCTAAGATAAGTAGATCTGTAAGAAAGTAAGTTTTAAGTATCGCTGAGTTGCTTTTATAGAAGAGGTTTCAAGTTTCCAGAGGATGTGCCAGTCTCATAATGACGCTGTGATTGTAATTTTAGTAATGCGGCCGACAAATTATTTTCCCATGTCCCTATTTTTTCCAGATGCCACGAAATTTAGAAAGCTGTGAATCGTCCCCTTTCACACACGACAGAAGGAAAAGAATATAACCGTATGGGGTGACAGAGACAGGGATGGGGAGAGAGAGAAAGAAAAAAATTTCCTTCCGAACGCTCTATATAGGATTTGACATAATGTTGAAAGTATGCTTATCGCGTTCTAACTTTTTTTTTTACTTGTAATTACAACTCTTGGTTATAACGAAGGAGTTTTTTTTTAGGGAGTATGTATGTTGGGGAGGAAATGTCTTGCCACAGAGGGTAATATGGGTAATGAGGATTTCAAACAACTGTATTGAAGCAATAAGTTTTTGTTTTTATTTTTGGTTCCATCATTATATGGACCATGCATTTTATTCAGTTAAGTTTACCGTAATTCAAACATTTAAATTTATAATTTATACCACGGTAATTCGTGAAATTAAATTCGTAACACAGGAAGTTAAAATAATACCGCGGTAATTTAAATTCGTATTTTGGTAATTCAAACATTGGTAATTCAAACATTTAAATTTATTCAACACTATTTCTAATATATATTTTTTTAAGCATTACGCCCCGAGCAAGGCGTGAAGCCACTAGGATGCAGGGGGTTGCAGAAGATTTGGAGCGAGAGCAGATAGGAGTGATAGAAGAAAGGATGAGGAGAAGGATAGTAGGTAGATCAAGGTAACTGGAGGTATCAATTGATATTACATTTGAATAGTTGGAGATTATAGCTCTCAGAGGAAACAGACATATCGTGGCATTTGCATTCATAGCGCAGTAATTTAATCATTTCAATCCAAACTTTGGTAATTCGAACATTTAAATTCATATCACGGTTAACGAAACAGTTTAATCCATTCAGCGGTAGTTCAAACACATAAATGAATTCGATGATAATTCAAACTATTAAATTAATACTACAGTATTTCAAACATTCAAATTCATACCACGAATTCAAGCTGTGGTTATTTAAACATTAAATTCATGCCCCTGTAATTCAAACATTTTAATCTATACACCGACTATTCAAAAGTGTAAATTCTTAAAAGTTAAGTCAAATTACCACGGTAGTCCAAACAGATTAACACCATAGTTATTTAAACCACTAAATAAACACCACGGTAATTCACACATTTACATTTATACCATGGTAATTCAAACATTTGCATTAATACCGCGGTAATTCGAACATTTAAAGTACCACAGTTTGAATTTAAATGTTTGAATTACCTTTTTTCCTGGCTTGTTCTCTTGACTTTGAAATTTCAAATAAATTTCAGAAAGAAGGTGCGATCATAAAGAGGAATCGTATTTCCAATGAAAATAATCGTTAACGGCGCATTTGCGCTATGAAGCCTTTTTATAGAAGTGAGACAATGGGTTACATATACTATCAAGCCTCCTTTATGGACATGAAAGATTCGGCAACATATGTTATCAAGCCTACTTTATAGATGTGAAACATTGGGCGAATTATGTTATCAATAAAACATTAGGTAAAATGAAACATTAGCTGACATATGCTATCTAGCCTCCTTTATTGAAGTAAAATAAAAATGAAAATAATCGTTAACGGCGCGTTTGCGCTATGAAACCTTTTTATCTAAGTGAGACAATGGGCGACATATGCTATCAAACCTCCTTTATGGACATGAAAGATTCGGCGACATAAGCTATCAAACCTCCTCTATGGACATGAAAGATTCGGCGACATATGCTCTCAAGCCAACTTTATGGACATGAAAGATTCGGTGACATATGCTATCAAACCTCCTTTATGGACATGAAAGATTCGGCGACATATGCTATCAAACCTCCTTTATGGAATTGAAAAAAATGAATGACATATGTTATCAAGACAACTTTATAGATGTGAATCATTAGCTGAAACATGTTACCAATCCTCTTTTATGGAAATGAAATATTAGGTGACATATGCCTATCTAGCTTCCTTTATAGATGTGAAACATTTGAGTAACGCTATTTCGACGCCTTTTTAGGAGGGAAACATTGGCTGATATTCACAAATCACATTCAGTCTCATCGGCGCTTTCACCAGAAATACGTTAAGCATATGATACACGTGGGATGACTTTATTATACACTTTCCATCATCCTCTTTTATCTTTTGGGGTATGGACATAAAGTTGGCAAGGGCGGTGAACAAAGGGAAATTTCTATATTGACCCGATGCGTGGAGAGCGCCCCAGAAAAACAAAAGAAAAACCTTATTGGGACTCGGTGAAGATACAGTAAGAAAAAAAGTGAAAAGTGGGATATAACGTTGGTCAAATCCAGTAAAGCGATAATGAAATACAAAACGAGATGGGTTGAACATGTTTAACTGAATCAAGCAACTAGAAAAGCGAATGGCCTAACCTTAATAATTGCAGCAATGCCAATAACAAGTTCTCGTTTAATCTTACTAATCGCACTTGCTATTTTACACATGCGATAATATGACAATCAACGCATAATTGGATATTCTTTCGAAAACATTTACCGGTGCATGTTACGTGTTAAGACTCAAAAACGCACTTGCTGTAAAAATTACTAGGCTGCCGGCACCCATCCAGCAATTGTGAACCGTAACAACAATTCGGCAGATTATTTTACGTGTAGCATATATTTAAATCAATCTCTGGATTAAATTTAGGATATCTTTGTAGATGTGCCAGTTGCATGAGAGTCAATCAATGATTCGTTGTTTCGTTGGCAAGATGTTTAGAGACAAAATAGTAAATATGCAAAAAAAAGCAACAAAAAACAAAAATAACAGAAAAACACAAACATAAAAAACGAGTATTTCTTGATAATGAATTGAATGCCAAGGAGTATGTCGGTCAGACGCACTTCCAGCATTTTAATGACAAAACATCAGACTACTGATTTTCCGAAGTCGGTCGAGCGAAGATTCTGCAAACAGCGGGTTATTTATCCACAGCAAAAATACATTTTATTTGTAATTTAAATTGCCCTAATTTTCTTGTGCCTTGAAGTAAAGATTAAAAGGCATAATTTTATATCAATTTAAATTATTTTCCTTCTCCTTTCCTTCCTCTGTCTATTTCCTACTTCTCTTCATCTCTCTGCTTCCCACTTTCTCGTTTTATACACATGTACATACAAAGTAGGAAAAACTTTTATATATATATATATATATATATATATATATATATATATATATATATATATATATATATATATATATATATATATATATATATATATATATATATATATATAATTTTTTTTCTCAGTGTCCTTACGTTTTTTTTTTTTCCGTTTCAGGTATAAGGAATAGAAAAATTTTCCCTAATTTTGTTGTCCCAAGCGCTTTATTAAAAAAGTTTTGTACTCCCTTACTCCTACAAGTTTAAAATTCTTTTTCGACCGTATTTAATGAAAGATATTGGAAAGAAAGTTTGCCCATATATATATATATATATATATATATATATATATATATATATATATATTAACAGAGTTAAAAATAAGATTCCATCGCTACACAGGAATTACCATGTTTCAAAATCAGAAAGTAACAGCTTCAAATTCAAATATATAATCAAATTAAAAGCACTAGTTCTATTTCTTTTTTAAGCGAATTTTGGAATTTTCCAAAATTCGCTTGAAAATGGAATCAGTTAATGTTTAATCTTTATGCTCTGTAAACTTACATTTAGCACTGTTTTGTAAAAATAAAAATATTAATAACAACACCGGATTATATATCTTACTGTTCTTCTTTTTATATATATATATATATATATATATATATATATATATATATATATATATATATATATATTATCCAAACGTAAAAGAACGAAGAATAAAATTGCAACGTTCTAAACATCAATTTAAAACGTCTCAATACAAGACTAGAGCAACAAATATTTATGATAAAATGTTACATTAGAACATCTAAGTTGCTACTACAAAATTGTGGCACTTCAAGGCGTTGTCTTCGTTGTCTTCGTTAGTTCGATCCTTACTGGGTGCCTCTTACATTCGGTCTTGTGCCACATTTAAGCTACGCCTGGAACAGACTACTACTACAAAATTATACATTTTGTTTCGACGTTTAATAAACACCATCTCATCAGGTAGTTAACTTTTCTGACACTTTCCGTTTGTGAGAAGTCCTTTAATCACCAGAAAAACTTACGGACTTTGGAGGTTTTCGGATTTTTGAATTTCGGATAAAAATCTGTATTACGAATCCAGAAAAATGGCAATTAAGGCGGGACAATTTCCTCAAAGATGACGAGGAAATAGAGAAGAATGGAGAAAATACTAAAAGCTAAGTAACGAATAAGTTTTAAGTGACACAATTCGAGGAAAGAAGGGTCAGATATTTTGACACTCACAAAACATACTGTAGGCCAGACGGACAGATGGAAGCAGCAAGTAACCGACCTAAATAGCCTGTGTAAAAGGGTGGCAGAACAGGGTATATGAAAGAAAAAGTGCTACAAGGTACAGGAAGTTGTGAAGAATCATGATCACCTACGTCCTGAAGAGAGAGAGAGCACATAAAAGAAGAAGTCCCATAAAACATCAAAGAGCACAGTTCCATTATAGGTTAACGCTAAAATGCAAATGTCAGCTTCTTTTACAATGTAAAATAGCAAAAGGAAACCTAACCCTTCTTAAGAGGGTGTGGCCCTAAAAAACACTTTGGTCGACATTTAAAGAAATGAATTTTCTGTCACATTTTAAAAGCGCGTTATTTTTTCATACATTGCCAAAGCATCGATTTTTTTCCTTCTATTTCAGTCGGGTTGGGGACGTATATGCAATTTTCATAATCCAAATAACTTCACGTACAGGGAGATTATACCCAGCAAATTAGTAGCTTGGAACAAAATAAAGCTGCCGTTTTTCTCTTTGTGTTTTTTTTTTTTTGCGATCAAATGTTTATTTCATTTCCTCCTGTTTGGGGACACAGCTACTTTTTATCTTCAATTTTCGCTTCTCCTCTTTTAGGCATTAGTAGAACTGTAGGATTATTTTCAGTCTGTTTTTAGAGAGTATTGACGCAAGTAAACGTGATTTTGTAGCCATTATACTTTACAGAAGGTAAAGAAAACAAAATCCATAATTATCAGCCAAAAATGAGCTCAAAACGCAAATTTCATATCGAAGATACTAAAATCAAACAGGTACAGAAATTTAAATATCTGGAAAGAGGTTCTAACAGAGAACCGAAAATGCGACACTGAATTCCGAAGACGTATTGAGATGCACAAAGATGTATTTCAAAAGCTAAGCAAAGTATTAAGAAACAGGAAAATTTCGTTAGAAACAAAATTACTGAAATGTTACGTGGTATCTGTCCTCTAGTATGGCAGCGAATGCTGGGAAATCTTCTCAGAGATGAAGAAGAGACCTCATTCATTAGGCACTCTACTTTGAGTTGTCAATCTGATTTGTTCAGATCAATTTACCCTTCCTCTAAATTGACATGGTGACCATCCCAGGACAAATCATTTCTTCAGTGAAGATTATAAAGAAATTATTCAAATTAGAAGAAGATTCCAAATACTATTTATTCCAATCAGCCTGTTGCTTTGAAAGTCAAGTGTATACATTTGGAACATAAGCACGTACGCACACGTAAATGAGCACACATGCACATAAAACATATACACACGTGCACACAAGCACACATGTAAATGAGAAAAAATCAACTTCAAATTAATAATAACAGCATTCCAGTTAGCGCCTAAATTAATAACATTAATAAATTAATTAATATTAAATAATTTATATTAGTTTATTCATATTAATAATACTAATAAATTAATTAATATTAATTAATATTACTTAATTAATATTAATGATATTAATAATAATAGTGCCTAAATCAAACTTATCAAAATAACGAAAAATGAGAAAAACGGTAGACAATTGCTGAAACCTCCTGACGAGCGGATTTAATTATCTGCCACATATGCCTCCAAGAAATATCTGCCTCATAAACCCACTAGAAATAACTATCCTATATGCCTCCCAAAAATACCTTCCAGAAATACCTGCCTCATATACCTCCTACAAATTTGTAGGTTTGATGAATTGGATCGTGATTACGATTCCAATGTAATAAATTGTAACTATGGAATATTAGTGTTTGAGCCTTTTATATATTCTTACTCTGTCCTAGACATTGAGTTCTACCTGGATTCTATCCTCTTGGGAATTTATGTATATAAATACACACACACACACACACACACACACACACACACACACACACACACATATATATATATATATATATATATATATATATATATATATATATATATTTATATATAGTCCACTAATATTATCAAAATATATATATATATATATATATATATATATATATGAATAAATATAGTTTTTAGATGTATTATATTTATGGGATAAAGTACTCAATATCAGAGATAGAGCGTATGTAAATATAAATATAAAAGT